TATATATATTATAGTGTAATAGCTAAATAAAAACACAGGCTTGTATAATTTGTTATATGTCAACCTTTGCCCTCTCTTCCCCTTCCTTAAGAATAACTTAGAAAAATGACCTAAACAAATGAGAGATGCCTCTAGACCTTTGTATTGTATGTCAAAATCAAGTAGATATTTTGGAATTACATTTCTAACAGAAATTTTTGCTCCAAAGAGGAAAAAACCTTAGAATTTATGTTCATTCTTGGGAGGCTGATTTATAAAACAAACATACACATTGTGACCGCATAGGGTTACGGTTCAGATGACTTAGACTTCAGAGGTTTAACATAGTAGAATTGTACTTTAAGCATAACTGTCTTGGAGGTCATGACAGGCAACAGGCATCAGTTTATTTTAATTTTACTGTCATAATTGTCACTACTGAGAAGAGTTGTGAGTGAGGACAAGTGGTAGTCATTTCATCTGCCACTTTGTAAAATTTTCCTCTACCTACTCTTTAACCATGTACGATTAACTATGCATCTGTGCAGGCTTACTATTTACTCACAACTACATTATTTTATTTTAAAACCAGTCTAGAGCATCACAGTACAAAGGTACCACTTTAGTCATTGCGTGTCATGATTGTGTTGTGTGTGTTTTTCAGGCTTGGTAAAAATTGCCAGCAGCCTGGGAGTCCGTCTTCTGCCTCCCAGAAAGAAGATCATCGTGATGATAATGGGTAACCACTCTGCAGGAAAGAGCTCCTTCATTAACTGGTATTACTGATACTTCTTATTGTTGTTGTGATCTAATAACGCTGCCTGACCATCACATGCTCTGCTCTATGTTTCAAAGAGAGACTGGTGTCGAGAACATCCTGTTCACACATGACTTTTTAAAAGCGCTTTGTGGTTTGAATGCAGCCCAGTTTTGCCCCAGGAAGTGTGGATTTACAAAAGAAAATGGGGAAAAAACAGGTGTAATTTGTTATTTTGTATGTCAGTTAAATCTTTTGTCACCATCAAAGTTTTATCCTTTTTTGAATAAATGTTGGGTAGGAAATATGTATGCTGTAAGATTAGTGACCTTTAGGCTACTCCCTTATTCACAGGGCGTCACCATATTGGGTGGATCTACATATTTGAAATGCAGATCAAGGCATACAATGACACTGTAGTACTGTACCACATCCATGCTAAAAGAAAGAGCAGCAAATCACCGTTAATAAATACCATATATACTGAATCAAATATAAACAATATGTGCAGACATAAGAAGGAGGGTCTTTTCTGACACAAGCCTTCCTGTGATTTGTGTCTCCTCCTGTCCTTGAACTGGGGACCTTTCACAATCTGGGAAAAACTTCCTCTTCCTCCTCCTTCTTCTTAAGCTTCTTATTTTCCTCTTCTCCTCCTTTGCTTCCTTCTCCTCCTCCTGACCCTTCAGGGGTCGCCAAAGCAGATGATCTCCCTTCCCGACCCTATCCCTAGCATCCCCCTCTGTCACTCCAGCCTTCACCACAACCATGTACATCTTCTGTGGTCTTCCTTGTTTCCTTTACAGACAGTTTAGAATGATCAGTAACCCAACATGCATGTCTGTGGTCTGTGGGTGGAAGCCCCAGTACGCAAAGAGAACCCACCCAAGCCCCAGCTGGCCAATAGATTCAAACTCGGGACTTTTTATGTTGTGAAACGGCAGAGCTAACCACTGCACCACCGCGCTGCCCCTGATTCTAACTGATCTGACATATTTTAGAGAGAGGGGGCTTTCTGCTGACAAATTGGTTAAGGTGACATTTTTTTTTCTATTGCAATATTTGTTTATTTGTTAAATCTTTCAAGATTCTTATATACTCATCTTCGCTAATGTTGAAGATGCTCTTAAGATCATCACTTTGATTATTACTGCTTAGAGATTGCAAACTGGTTCGAGGAGTGTTGTTCTACCTGACATTTGTTCTCTAGTCTCTTGATGTCCAAATTCTGTAATATCCCACTGATCACACAATTACATCCTTTTAAACAAGCCACAAGCTATATTATTACAGATGGATGGATGGATGGATGGGTTGGTGGGTAGGTAGGTAAATTATTCTAAATCAACATGTTAAAACATCAAAGAATGAAATTAGTTTCTTGTGGATAAATCAAATTTACCAAGCAAAAATTCGAACAGTGCATTGTTTGAGCTTCTTAAAATGTTATGATTTGTTTATTTTCCCTTTGATTGTAAACAGAATCATTTTGCAGCGTTTTCTCACATGTAGCTTTTCGCAAGAATTGAGGCGTTGTTGCTTTAGCTCTTTCTCACTTTTGATGGCGTTATTATCTTTCTAGGTATGTTGAAGAGCACATACAGAAAACAGGGGTGGCCATCGAAACGCAGGGGTTTACCTTCATCACAAGTGGACGCAAAAGAGAATCTCTGACGGTAAGATCAGCGCGGACACGGCCGGCATGTGCAGCTGTGCCACGAAAAGATTTCCCAGCCAGAGCTTAAAAAGGAAAATTGTGACAGTTAACTCTTTTACTTCAGTGCAATCCTTTAATTTTGTTCTCAGTATTTGTTAAGAAGCTTGTTTTTATATTTAGCTATCACCTTTTAGTTTTGTACTCAAGGAGATGATGCGATTTTTTAACTTCAGTAACATGAACTGAAGCTGCAGTCAGTCATAAAGGCTGATGAAGCAGGGCGTTTGATGTTGGCATTTATGTAAGGCACTCCCTCAGCCAGTGGTGATTTCTCATTCTATATGCTGCTCCACCGAGGGGCTTTGTTGTGTATG